GTCTCGCTGCCCAGGCGGGTCTCAAACTCATGGACTCAGGCAATCCACTCACCTCAGCCTCCAAAAGGTGTGGGATTACAGGCTGAGCCACCGAGCCCGGCTTTATTGTTATTTTAGAGGGTCATCACAGATGATAGCTCCACATGTGTTATTACCCCTGAAGACCTTCCAGAGGGACAAAAAGTGGAGGTGGTGGACAGTGATATTGAAGATCCTGACCCTGTGTAGGCCTGGGCTCATGTGTGTATTTGTGTCTTAGGTTTTAATAAAACAGGTTTTAAAATTTTTAAAAATAGGCCAGGCTCGGTGGCTCAGCCTATAATCCCAGCACTTTGGGAGGCCAAGGAGAGTGGATTGCCTGAGCCCGCTGGTTCGAGAGCAGCTTGGGCAACTTGGCGAGACCCTGTCTCTACAATAAAATAAAAAACAGCCAGATGTGGTAGTGCGTGTCTGTAGTTCTGGCTCCTTGGAAGGCTGAGGCGGAAGGATCGCTGGAGCTCAGAAAGTTGACATTGGGGTGGCTGTGAGCATGCGTGCTACTGCACTCCAGCCTGGGCAAAGGGGTGAGACTCCAACTCAAAAAATAAAAAATAAAAAATAAAAATTTTAATAGGAGAAAGTTTTTAAAACAAGGATGTAGAGAAAATATTTTCACAGTACAATGTGTTTGTGGTTTATGCTGAGTGTTGTTGCAAAAGAGTCAAAAAGTTTTAAAAAATTAAGAAGTTTATAAAGTAAAAAAGTTATAGTAAGCTAAGGTCAGTTTATTATTGAAGAAAATATTTTTAAAAATGACTTTAGTGCAGCCTAAGTATGCAGTGTTTATAAAGTCTACAGTAGTGGGCAGTGATGTCCTGGGTCTTCACATTCACGCACCACTTGCTCACTGACCCACACAGAGTGACTTCCCTTCCTGAAAACTCCATTCATGGTAAGTGCCCTGTACCGGTGTGCCACTGTTTATCTTTTGTACCGTATTTTTACTGAACCTTTTTTATGTTTAGATACATAAGTACTTACCATGTTGTTACAACTGCCTACAGAATTCAGGACAGTAACAGGTGGTACCATAGCCCAGGTGTGTAGTAGGCTATGCCATCTGGCCTTGTCTAAGTTACATTCGAATGATGTTCACCCATGATGAAATCATCTAATGATGCATTTTTCAGAATACATTCCCTTTGTTGTATTTAAATGGAAAGTAGTGTGCTATGAACAGCACGTATAGTATTATCCATGTCTGTGTGGGTCTGATCAGGGTAGAGCACTGAAAACGTGATAGATAGCTAGATGGCTACATAGATAGATGGATAGCTAGATAGATAGATAGCTAGAACCCGATCTATAACATGCATGTTGCTTAAATTTTTTCTCCTCCCTGGGTTAGGGTCTTCATTAGGGAGTAAAAAGGAGAGGGTGGTGATTATTCTCACTGCTACCAACAATTCAGGGCAGCAAATATTTTGCTTTTGTTTTTGTCTCGAACTTCCCAAGGCCTCTTCCACATGCTAATCAAGTGTCCTAGTGACCAAACGCCTTCCAGCTAACAAGTGTGCTGCACTACCTGAGAACACACCAGCTTTACAGGGCACAATATTAATACACATGACACAACTGGAGGACACCACCAGACAATATATATGTAACCGAGTGCTGGAATGTACACACAAAAGAAAACGACTTTGGTCATATTAAAAATCACGCAGGAATAGCTTCAAACATTTTCCTCTCAACATATTATATGCTCTTATTTCTAAGGAGTCTCAGGCTCGCTAGTTGAGTGATTATGGTGAGATGGAAAGAACATTAACTGATAATTAGGACATGTCTATTCTAAATTTGGTTCTTCTATATGTACGCTTTTTAAGCAGTCCTTTCCATTCTCTAGAGTTAGAGGGGTTGAACTCAATGCTTTTAAAGGTCCCTTCTGGCTCCTAACAGAGTAAGATTCCTAGAGACTGGGAGTCTGACTCCCTGAAATCCTTGAGGCCTGAGCGTGTCGGTCTGTATCTCTTGGCATGACAGAGAGGAGTGCCCAGGAGCAGAGATGGTGATGAGCCGACAGCTGTGTCTTGTCCCAGTGTCCGCTGTCCTGGAGAAAGGCTGAGTATCCACACCATGACATTTCCAGGCGAGACTGAACGGGGGTGTGATGGCTGCAGTTGATAGCTGCACCCGCTTATACCAGAAACAGCCTGTGGTCACGTTAGACCTGTGAGTCTTGAGTGGACAGTGCATGATTTGCTAAGGGAGTTTGAAATGGGAGGGTTCTCATTAAATGTTTTCATCCTCCTCTCAGAGGACTCCAAGGTGCCCATCACCCCTTCACCTCGGAGTCCCCCGACGGGCCCTGCACACCCTCCCCGGTCCAGAGCGCTGAGCGCCTCTGACCGCTGGTGTCGATTATGGCCACCAGAGGGCACTCTTGCAATGTGGAGACCAGCAGTTCTTTTAGCGTTGGAGGAACCTGGTTCCCATCTTTGCCAGAACATCTGGATTTGCTGAAGCCACGCTGTACTTAAGTGGTTCTCCACTGGGGATGACTTCTCTTCTCGCACCAGGAAACATTTAACAATGTCTGGAGACAGTCTTGGCTGTCCCAGCTGGGTGGGGGAGGGTGCTACTGGCATCCACCGAGTAGAGGCCACGGATGCCGCTCAACACCCAGGAATGCTCAGGACAGCTCCCCCCAGCAAAGTACCAGGCAGCCCCCAAATATTAAAATAGCGCTGAGGTTAAGAAGGGCTGCTGTGCTCAAACCTACTGCCAAAACACTGAGAGTACCCCCTGGAAGTTCAAGTCCTCTGGGGCAGAGCTTTTAGTCTCCTGGGTCACCTACCTGGAAGGGAAATGGTAGAATAGGGACTTCAAAGCATTTCCCATTGTCTGAGGGGGTCACAGGGCACCGGACCACTGAAGAAGAGGTAAGGCCAGCCAGAGGGCACATGAAGGGCTCCATGATGGAGACAAACCCTGTCCCTGGGATTGGTGTCTCCGAGCCAGGCCCAGGCCCTGTGACAACACCACCCAGTTCCTTATGCTGAAGCAGACAACACAAGCTCTTTGTCTCCCCAAACTGGGCAGGGTGATGGGAAAGCCCCTGGGGGTTCGTCCTTCCTGCAGGGGCAGGGATGGGCCTGTGGCTCTGGGGGGAAGTGAGAAGCAGTTTTCTTTATAGCCCTGGGAACTCCTGGGAGAGAGACTCAGTGGTGCCCTTGTTGGCATCGAGGCTGAGGAAGAGAGATGGAAATGAAGAACCTCCCAGCTCCTTTCGCCCAAGTCCAGCTCGGAAACCCAGGGCCTAGCTTCCTTGCCCATCTCAACCCTCCTGAGGAGTGAAAGCCACCTCTGCCTCACTCTGGGTCTCTCCTTTCCCAGCGGGTGGCGGTGTGTCTGCCACGAAGAAGGACTGAGAGGCTGCAAAAAGCAAATGATCAGGGAGTCCCGAGAGGGGGGTGCACACCTCCTCCTTGGACTGAGAAACAGGGACAAACAGTGGGTGCAGGGGCCCTCCGTGCCTCCTCCGTGCGTGCGCCGTGTCATAGGAAATGGAGACAAGTTCTAAGCGTGTCACTGGCTGCCTAGGAATAGGAGGACAATGTAGATCAACCGCCTTGGCTCCTGGGCATCCCTTTCCGTTGGCATGTCCTTGGTTGAGCAAAAGACCCTCTCTGTCAGGTGTCTCCCATGCCCAGTTGCCTGATGTCTCAAGTTGGCCCTGCTTGGCAATCTTCTGGTAAGGAGCAGAGAATAAGGGACCCCTGTCCATATCCTCCTCCCTCACCTTCCCCCTTCTACTCCAAGGTCCTCCATTGGGATCTGAGGGTCATTCCGTAAGGACCCCTGCTTAGTTCTGAGGTTCCTTCTTTGAGGCCGGCTTCCCACTTCTCCCAAGGTGCTTCTCAGGCCCTTGCTTCCTTGGCATTTCACTCTCAGAGAGGAGATGGTGGGGGGAAGGGAGGAGCCTGGCTGGGGGGATGCCCAGCTTCACTCCAGGCCTCAGGCTCCCTCAGCCCCTCCCCTCATCTCCTTCCCATCACAGCAGATCAGAACACAGGGGAGCATGGCAGAGCCTGGGGTCCCCTGGAGGGCGGTAGTGCCAGAGGGCAGTTTGCGAGGGCATTTTATTCATGGTTGCAGTGGAGTATGACAGAGCTGAGGGGGGCTGGTGTCTCCCTATTCCACCTGCCTGGATCCCGGGGCAGTGGAGAAAGAAGGAAGTGCCTGAGTGGGACAGGGGATTCCAGGGTTTCAGAAATCAGAGGGGTGGGGCAGAAGTGGACGGAGGGGTGGGAGAGGGAAGGGAGACCTTAGCCTTGATTAGGGAGACGGCCCCAGTTGGAAGACTCGGACAAGCCGGGCTCGGTGGCTCAGCCTGTAATCCCGCACCTTTGGTAGGCTGAGGTGAATGGATTGCCTGAGCCCGCGGGTTCGAGACCCTCCTGGGCAGGCGAGACCTCATCTCTACAATAAATAAAAAAATCAGCCGGGCGTGGTAGCGCGCCCCTGTAATTCCAGCTACTCGGAAGGCTGAGGCGGAAGGATCACCGGAGCCCAGCAGGTCGAGGCTGCGGTGGCCGGGAGCGGCCACGACACTCCAGTCTGGGCGACAGAGTGAGACTCCAACTCAAAAAAATAAAAAATAAAAAAGACTCGGGACGAGAGTAGCTCCGGTCCCTCCCCAGCCTAGACGTTCAATCTTCCCTCTGGTGTAGGCAGGTGTAGGGTGCTTCAAATGAGGGAAACCTTATTCTCATCTCCCTCAAGAGAACTGGAGACGAAGAATGTCTCCTTAGTCTGCTTAGCAATGTGGTGGGTGAGGCCGGGGCTTCCTGCCTCCATTTGTGCCTTCCCGGCAATTCCCCCACCTTGGGTCCAGTTCTGCCTCTTCAGGCCCTTTTGCAATTTCAGCCCTGTCCAGCCAGGAGAAGGCACAAAACTGGATCAGGTGGGGGGGGTGGGCTTTAGAGGACCCCCCCACCTCACACCTTCCTCTCTAGTTAAGGTGGATCCAAGGGCCACACTGCTTTGAGGTTCTCCAGACTGGGCGATGCAGGGCTTTTGAGTCCTTGGGCCTCTGAGGAGAACCCCTCCCTGGGATCCAGGCACCCCTTCACCCTCGGCATGGGATCAGGCTTTACCTCCAACCCCTCAGGCCTGAGGGACAGGAGCTGAAGCCTCTCGCCTGCGCCCTGTCCCAGCCCGGCCAACAGGGGAAGCCCTGGAAAGTGCCAGCCTCCTGGGGGCCATCCGGGTCCTGGGAGCAGGGTGTCTGGCTTGGAGGGCACCGGGAGCTGCTGCTCTGAGGGGAGAGGAGGCAGGAAGGGCCCCGAGAGGCGGGTCCAGTCACAGGGGAGAGGGGGCGGGAGGGGAGGGGTGAAGGAGGCGAAACAGGGCAGCTGGCCTTGGATGCTCCCCAAGTGGCAGCAAGGGCCCAGCCGGCAGGGCCCTGGCGCAGAGCCAAGTCCTAGAGAAAGAGAAGAGGAAGGGTCAAGGGGGTGCCGACCCCTCTGAGGCTCCTCCCACCTCCCATTCCTTTTCACCTGCTATGGCTCTCTCCCCCCACCACCTCTCTTGTCCACGCTTCTCCAGGTCTCCTCACAAACACCGTCTCTCGGGGAAGCCTCCAAGGCTCCCCAGCCTGGTGACAGCACCTGCCGCCTGCCCTGATCCCCCTAGCCTCTCCTCCAGGGCCCTTAGCTCAGCCAGGGCCATGTCGTCACCCATGTGCTTATTTACTTAATGTCTGTGTCCCCAGCTCTGGGGGCAGGAGCTGTACCTGTTTTCTTCTCCCCTGAATCCAGCCCAGCCGGGCACACATTCAGTGCCCAATAGAAACGTGCTGAATGAATAATATTCTTTTGCCATAACTCAATGAATCGTTTCTTCTCTCTGCTCCTGCAGCAGAGGCCCCAAGTGCTAGCCGGGAGAAGAATGGACTGTGTGGCCTTGGGCTTGTGGTTTGAGTTTGTGGGCCTGTTTCTTCACCCATAAAACCTCCCTCCTATGTCAGATCAAGATGTAAGAAGAGGCCTGTAGAGTTCATGACGGCGAGGTCCGGGAAGGCGTCAGGGAAGCCCCAGTCTTCTTCTCTGTCTCGCTCTGGCCCATAACTCTCCTCCAAAAGACTTTCCTTCCTTGCATTCCTTCCAGATCCACTCTTTCCCCCTCCTACCCTGCCAGGACCCTACAATTAGTCCTCCCAGCTGGGGGGGACCTTGGAGATGGTGACAGAGAAATTCCCATCACTTTCTTTTTATTTAGTGGGGGTGGGGGTGTGGGGGCAAGGTATCACTTGGTCGCCCAGGCTGGAGGGCAGTGGCATAATCATGGCTCACTGCAGCCTTGACATCCTGGGCTCAAGTGATCCTCCCACCTCAGCCCTCACCTTCCCAGCTGCATGCCACCATGCCCGATTAATTTTTTGATTTTTTTATGAAGACAAGGTTTCACTCTGTTGTCCAGGCTGGTTTCTAGTCTGGTCTTGAACTCTTGGGCTCAAGCAATCCTCCTGCCTCGGCCTTCCAAAATGTTGGGATTACAGGCATGAGCCACCATGCCCAGCTAGAACTTCATACTACGTTCTATACTCTAACAACCCTAACTGCAATCCCACATTTTTCTCAGCAAGACCACATCTTTTAACCAAGACAGCAAGTATCACCCCAACGTAGCCACATCGGTGGGACTAGAGCTAAGGAAAACTGGAAAAACAAATTCGCGATCACGGAATGTATACTCAGCATATTTGATGGGAACAATATTCTGAAGTGAGATCTATGAAGGGAGAAAACAGTAAGGGTGATTCTCCAAGAGGAGAAGTATGGGGAAGTCCTGCCAGGGCACACCTCTCTCTGGGTCATCGTCCCTTTCCTCGGGTCCTTAGATGGGTGGAGACTGTTGTTTCACAGGAAGGTTGTGCCCTCGGACTCAAGGCTGGGTCTCCCTTCCACTGAGGAGATCTTCCCAAGAGTCCTCCTCTCTCCCCCAACCCTCCCCGACACGGGCAGGCCCGTTAGCTCCTGGCTCTGGCTCAGAGTCCTCTCACTCCCGGAAGCAGCTTCCCTTCTTGGCACAAATGCTCGGAGTGAGGGTGGAAGTGAGGGGCTGGTAGAGGCTTCTGGGATCCCAGTCCAGACGTGGGCCATGCGGCTGCTACTAACCTTCTGGTGACCTCCACCTGCTCAGCGTCCCTGTCCCTCGGGGCCTGAGCACAGACAGGCCATGTGTGTTTGCCTGGGGAGGGAAGGGAGGTGTGGAACGGCCCACTCTGGGGCTTGAGAGGGAACACTTTTTCCCCCTCATAGTTTCCCAAGGAAAAGCTCTGTGCCCAAGGCATTCCCAGAGGGAGGGGGCGGATGGGGGTGGAGGAACAGGGAGGGTTCTTCAGGTGCTATTTAGCTCCAGGCTGCCAGACCAGTGGCCCAGCAAGTCCTAGCAGGCTCCCAGCCGCCACACACCCATGGCCTCGTCTGCACTCACGGATGGCAGAGTCTGGACCCCCAGCTGCACGAAGGATAGGGTGAAGGCCATGGGTCCTTCTTCCATAGAATTGTCTGGAGTGGAGGGGCAGTTCTTGGGCCTCTGCACAATGAGTACCTCTGTAATCTTTTATTTATTTTCTTTTCTTTATTTTTGAGTCGGAGTCTCACTCTCTCTCTCAGGCTGGAGTGCAGTGGCAGGATCACGGCTCACTGCAGCCTTGACCTCCCGGATTCAGGTGATCTTCCCTCCTCAGCCTATAGAGTAGCTGAAACTACAGGTGCATGACATCACGCCGGCTAATTTTTTTGATGTTTTGATAGAGACAAGGTCTCGCTGTGTCACCCAGGCTGGTCTCGATCTCCTGGCCTCAAGCGATCCTCCCACCTCGGGCTCCCAAAGTGCTGGGTTGACAGGCATGAGCCGCTGCACCCAACCTCTGTGATCTTTTTCACAGAAAATATGATGTTACACTTCCCAGGCCTCTGTAAAAGCTGGTGCCTCCTACATTTCCACCTCTCTCCCACTCCGTCACCACGTGCTCCCACACTGGCCTTTTCCCAGTCCCTCTTTCCTGCCCCAGGGCCTCTGTACACACTGTTCTCTCTGCTTGCCATGCTCTCCCCCTCCCCCTGTGCTAAGCTGACACTTATGTACACTTTGGGTCTCAGCTCAAATGTCACTTTGTCAAGGAAGTCTTCCCTGATGCCCTCAGCACCCTGAATTTCTCTGCAGTAGCTACGTGTTAGAATCACATGTCTGTTGTCCATTAAACGTGTGTACCCCCTCTTGCCTACAGGCCCTATCCAGGCAGTCTTGCTCTCATTGGAACCCCTGGTGCATTAAACAAGAGTTCATTAAACATGTGATGAAAGAAGAAGGGAATGAGTGAGTGGGTGAGAGATCGTCTCTGTCTTCCCAGTCTCCTTCCAGCCGAGCCTTCTTTGCTGCATGGCCTTCGTCGTGGTTCTGGCCTCACCATTTCCTCCTAGATTATCCTCAAAAGCCTCCCAACTCTGCTGTGATGCCTCCTCCTACCTAAACCCTAGACACAATCCAGTAATCTTCATAAAGTGAAAATCTGAAATGCCTCTCCCTCCTGGTCCCTCCTGCCCACAGGAAGAAGTCCAGCTCCCTTGATATGAGTTCTGAGGCTGCTGTGACCAGACCGCTTCTCCCATCTGACCACAGCCAGCCACCAGCAGCCCTCTGGGTTTGCTACACGTGTCACTGCTTTCTGCTTTGTCAACGCTGTCCCCTCTGCGTGGGCCTCTTTCTCCTCCTCCCTCACCTACCTGCTCAGGTGTTATGTCCTCAGGGAAGCCCCACCTCCTTCTCTGGGCCCCACAGCACCTGTGCTCACCTGGATCTCACACTGGTCACTGGAAGTGCTCCCATCTCTGCTCCCCACTAGGCTCTGGGCCTCCTGAGGGCCATCTTTCTTCTCTGAGCCTAGTCAGTAGCTGGCACTCAGTGAACGTTGATTGAATGACCAAATGATGTGTATACTATCCCTATCTCACAGCTCCTCAGTGCGCAGCTGCGGGGGCTCTCCCTCCTCTGGCTCGGATCCCTGGGCCCTCCCCAGCCCTGGGCACTCACGACGGCTGCTGCTGCTCCCCTTCTTCTCCCCAGAGGCCTCTGGTTGCCCTCGGTGGGTCTGCTGCCCCATCAGCTGCTCCACCATTGCCTGGGGGGTGAACAGCATGCTGTGCAGGAGCTGAGGGGTGAGAGGCGTGTGTGTGGGTGGGAGGGGCTCCCCCGGCACACCATCTTCCAGTGTTGTTAAGAAGCTACTGCCATGTGCCGCCTGCAGCCGCAGGTGCCCTGGACTCTCCCCGGAGACCCCCACCCCTTCCTTCTGAGCTGCCACTAAAGGAGTAAGGAGTCACAGGAGTCACCCCTTCTCACAGGTGGGTGCTGTACCTCACAGATTGTTAAATTCCCCTGCCCCAGGGCACTGAGGGATGGGAATGGGAGGGAAGAAGGACATTGAAGGCTCATGGGTCCGAGGTAGAGGGGAGGGTGAGGGGACGGCTGGGCAGAGGGGCAGGGTCTGCTGGAGCCCTGTGGACAGGCGCCACCTTCAAGCCTACCTCACTCTGCACACCCACGGGCACCAGGGCTGACCCGCACAAGGCAGGCGCCCCCAGCAGCAAGTGGGGGGATGGCGGCGCCCGCACTTCCCACAGAGGACAGTTGACCACGATGAGCTTGCTGAAGTTGAATTTGTACGTGAACCTTTTGCCTTTGGTCTTGTACAGGATCCTCTTATTGTAGTAATATCTGGAGAATCGAGGTTGAGGACAGAGAGTTGGCCTGGTGGGCAGGGGATGCAGCCAGAGACCCAGTCACATCCTCCTCCCCAGCCAGACTGACCCCGAGCTGCTCCTGGAGAGCCACCAGGCTTCTCAGCACACAGAAAGACATGTCCCAAGCTTCAGAGGGGTGGGACCCAGACCGGGGTGCCATAAGCCACAGCACTTTTCTTTGAACTCTGCCCTCTCTGGCCACGTTGGCCGCCTCCTCTCACCTGAGGGCCCGGCTCAGCTTGTCATAATTCATCTGTGGTTTGCATTTCCTGCGGCCCCAGAGGCGGGCCACCTCATCTGGATCCTTGATGACAAACTCCCCATACTCTCCCTGCTGCCAGGCAATGACATGGCGGAACTCTTCCTTCTGCAGCAGCTCCAGGATGAAGTGCCACAGCTGGATCTGCCGGGAGCCTGGGGACGACTCGGCTTTGTAGGCCCAGTCAGGGAAGGCCAAGCCTGGGGGGTGGAGAGGGGGAAGTGAGGGCCACCCTGATGCTCTGGAGGCCCCGCCCAAGGCCACTGCCAGAGCGTAGGTGGGACCTGGCACAGAGGCTCACCTGAGATCCAGTAGTTGCCAGGGGTGGCCGGGACGCCCTCTGCCAAGCAGCTGCAGTGCATGGTCCGCTCCGGGTGACAGAGGGCTGCTTCTGGGCCTTGCGGGAAATGGACACCCCTTAAGAGGAGGAGAAAGAAGGAAGCAGGGGAGAGGAGAAGGGAAAAGGGAGGGAAAGAGAGAAGAGGGAAGGAACAAGGGGAGGAAAGTGTCTGAGGCAGGAAGCATCCCATATCCAGGGCAGGGCCCAGCTTCCTCTGGGAGCTCCTCACTGCCCAGAGCTGAGCCACTTATACAGATGGAGAGAAACACAAAGGGTCCTATATTCTGCCCCTGCTGGGAGATTTAGACAGAGAGTGAGATCTCTTCTTAGGGCTTAGTGAGATTGACATTTTTCCCAATGTAATAAAATGTAATTGATCAGCTGGGTTCGGTGGCTCAGCCTGTAATCCCGCGCCTTTGGGAGGTTGAGGTGAGTGGATTGCCTGAGCCTGCGGGTTCGAGACCCGCCTGGGCAGCGAGACCTCATCTCTACAATAAATCAAAAAAATCAGCCGGGCGTGGTAGCACACGCCTATAATTCCGGCAACTCAGAAGGCTGAGGTGGAAGGATCGCCGGAGCCCAGTGGGTCGAGGCTGCGGTGGCCGGGAGCGGCCGCTGCACTCCAGTCTGGGCGATAGAGTGAGACTCCAACTCAAAAAAAAAAAAAAGTAATTGATCACGGGCCCTTTCTAAAGCTTGAGTGGGTAGGTGGTGGTGTGCACACACACCTGTACCTTTAGAGTACTTAGAACAAGTTCACATTTGGGAAGGGCAGGTGCTTTTGCATGCTTTTTTCACCACCATGTCCCAAGTGCCTGTCACATGGCAGGCGTTCAACAGATGATGGCTGATAGAATAATGAATGCAGCCGGGCTCGGTGGCTCAGCCTGTAATCCCGCGCCTTTGGGAGGCTGAGGTGAGTGGATTGCCTGAGCCCGCGGGTTTGAGACACGCCTGGGCAGCGAGACCTCATCTCTACAATAAAAATAAAAAAAATCAGCCAGGCGTGGTAGCACATGCCTGTAATTCCGGCTACTCAGAAGGCTGAGGCGGAAGGATCGCTGGAGCCCAGCAGGCGAGGCTGCGGTGGCTGGGAGCGGCCACTGCACTCCAGTCGGGGCGACCGAGTGAGACTCAACTCAAAAAAAAAAAGAATAAATGAACGCAACAGGCTTATTGATGGTGCTATTCTTTGTTTAACACCTGTCTTCCCCTCAGACTGTCAGCTCCGAGGTCAGGAGCCCCTGGTTGACCCGCTCCTGCTGGCTCCCTGGACCCCATCCTAGCACAGAGCCTCACACTCTGTAAATGTTTGTTGAATTATGGAAATGTGGGTAAGAAAGAAAGAATCTTGCAGTTCTCTGTGGGAGAGGATGGGGGGGTTTGTGGAATGAGCCCTAGCGAGATAGACTTGCCTGATACAAGAAAAGAAAGGAGAAAAAAATATCCGAGCCCAAAGCCTCCCGGATGGAACAGAAGATGGCACGAAGGGCCGGTTGTCACCATCACTCAAGGAAGAAGACACAGTATGCAAGAGGACTGAGGAGGGGTGAGAGAGGCTGCCATGGGGGCAGGGGATGCGGGGTCCACTCCTGGGGGTAGGCCAGGGCACAGGAGAGATTCCTGGGTATGTGGGCCTGCCTGTGAACAGGGTCACCTCAACTGGACTCTGGGTCTCCAGTTCTGATGATATTAGCATAGGGGAGGCATTGCTTTCAACTAGAACTGAGGCTGGCAGACTTGGAGCAGGCTCCTCCCTTTCCAGAGGAGGCTCAGAGAGGGAAAGTGACTTGACCAGACACATGGTGAATTGGCCGTCAAACCCTGACTCCTAATCCACAGTACTTTCTCATATACTGAGTTGCCTTAAGACTTAAAAAAAGGCCTGGTGCAGTGTAATCCCAGCGCTTTGGGAGGCTGAGGCGAGAGGATTGCCTGAGCCCAGGGGCTCAAGACCAGCCTGGACAACTTGGTGAGACCTTGTCTCTACAAGAAATCAAAAAATTAGCCAGGCGTGGTAGTGCGTGCCTGTAGTTCTGGCTACTTGGAAAGCTGAGGCAGAAGGATCACCTAAGCCCAGCAGGTCGAGGCTGTGGTGGCCAGAAGCCTGCCGCCGCCCTCCAGTCTGGGGGAGAGTGAGACTCCGACTCAAAAACAAACAAAGACAAAAAAATAATCGATGGCAATGCTTTTCAAACTCTAATGTGCTTACGAATCGCCTGAAGGTCTTTTTAAAATGTAGATTCTAGACTGGACTTGGTGGCTTATACCTGTAATTCCAGTACTTTGGGAAGCTGAGGCAGGAGGATTCCTTGAGTCCAGGAGTTTGAGACCAGCCTAGGCAACATAGTGAGACCTCATCTCGACAAAAATAAAAAAATTAGCTGGGGGTGGTAGTGCACACCTGTAGTTCCAGCTATTTGGGAGGCTGAAGTGGGAAGATTGCCTGAGTCCAGAAGGTTGTGGCTGTAGTGAGCCGTGATCACACCACTGTCCTCTAGCCTGGGTGAGAGAGTGAGACCCCGACTCAAAAAAAAAGAAAAAAATGCAGGGCTGGGTCGAGCATTTATCGCCTATAATCCCAGCACTTTGGGAGATGGAGGCAAGAGGATCTCCTGAGCCCAAGGGTTAGGGTCAGTCTGAGCAACTTGGCGAGAGCCCATCTCCACAATCAATAAAAAAAAATTAGCCAAGTGTGGTGGCACTTGGAAGGCTGAAGCGGAAGGATCACCTGAGCCCAGCAGGTCGAGGCTGCAGTAGCCATGAACATACCACTGCATTCCAGCCTGGGTGACAGAATGAGACTCTGGACTCTGGACTCTGTCGCCCAGACTGGAGTGCAGTGGCCGCTCCCGGACACCGCAGCCTCGACCC